TTGCACACCATATATTATCTTATAAATATAGTCAGAATATTCCACAATATCCTATAACATCTTTTATAATATTTCATTTTCAATATTTTTCATAATATTCTTCAGTAATTACTTTTCACGATACTCTACATTCAGCACCTTCGATAACACCTATTGTATTTAACATCCTTCATAATACCTTATTTTTACAGCTTTCTTATTATCCTATATTTAACACACTTCAGAAAACCCTATTTTCAAAATATTCCATAATATCCTTATTAACATCTTTCATAATACCTTATCTTCAAAACCTTCCATCATATTCTGTATTTAAATGCCTTCATAATACCTTATTTTAACATCTTCCTTAATATACTATATTTAACACACTTCATATGTTCAACACCTTCCATAATAACCTTATTAACATCTTTCATAATACCTTATGTTAAACTCTTTCCATAATTCCCTATGTTCAACGCTATCTATGATATCCTACTTTTAACATCTATAATATCTTGTCCTTAACAATTACCATTTTTTTCTAATTTTTTTAACATCGGATGATGTACTTGCTGTCGTGTTATCCCAATAGACTCACCTGAGCACTTTGCTGTATTCAGTAATAATAAATGTGAATTGTCTAACCTAGACTCCAAGAGATTCGTCAATCACTGTTGTTCAGTAACGAGCAAAGTAACATTCACTGTAAGGTTTCCCTTTAGATAAATATAACGTAAACTGTAAGGAACATTGTTTTTTATTGCCAGTAGAAGTTATGCTTCTAAGCCTTGGAAAAATACTAGACGGCTATTTTATTAAGAGTTGTTCTGAGTTGCTGTTTAATGAAACTCGTTGGAGCAGAACGAATAACGCAAATAAAAGTAATAAAAACATAAGGAGGTTTAGAAACGTGTCATGAGTTGTTATGCCTCACTAACTTTTGTAGATATGTTGTTGTTTGTGTTTCTTTTTTATCACGAGAAAGATGCATGGTTATAAAAAAGAATCATAAAAGTGCTTCTATTGCTAATTATGTTTCACGGTTTTAGTGAAACATGTGAAAATAACACATAAGATAAATCGTTAAATGAATATCATCCTACATATTTTTTGTTTTGTACAAACAGAAAAGATTCACTTAGTTCAAGTTATTTTATAGTAAAATCAACTGATTCTTACGAACAAATATGGGGAAGGTAAGTTAAAATTTGTCTTCACAGAACTTCTGTTTTGTGGCTGAATGGATAGCAAACATCGGTATTCATTATTGATACTATTCTTGCACACCCAAGAATGATGTTATATTTCACTTCCATTTCATACAATGCAGGATGGAGATGTTCCTAGATATATAATTCAGTTTAAAAAGTACGTTTAGGATATTATGAATCAAAATAGAGTATGTTCTTAAACAACTTAAAAATTACTAAGGCTTTTAGATAAAGAGTAGAGAAGACAATAAAAAAAAGAGTTGTGATTGAGCAGAGTGAGTCAGTCTTGAAAATGTATGATACAAAACGTTGATAAGAAACATTGTAGTCTTTAAGAAGGTTAACAAAGGGAGATGTGAACAAGATGGTCTCATTACAAAATTAAAAAATTACTGAGTAAAGGTATAATATTGGAAGTTTCTCACCTACACTTAATCATATATAAATAAGTGGGTCTTATGAAGATAGCTTATTCCAAGTCCTTTAGAACAATCCAGATACATGACTCTGTATCGATCTTTCATTCAACATCTGAGCCTCATTACCAAATTAGTTATTTGATCACATAATGACAACATTTGAAATGGTGAAACAAACCAATGTACTAGCTATAGCTTGGGACTATCATTACATTATGAAGTAAATTACAATTTTTGTCCAAATAAGTAGGAATATTTGTTCAAAGAGGTCCTAAGTTCAAACCTCAGTAAAGGGTGTGTTTGTTGATTAGCATATATTGAAAATCCATGCCGTGTTTCCCTTATAAATTTGTTTTTATAATCTATATATGAGCTACACGATCATTAATATCATGACAACAAAACAAATATTAAGTTCTAGCAATCTTATCTGCCTTTAATAAGACAACAACAAACTCTAAATACAGTAAACCTTATCTGTCGCTAGTAATGAACAATCAACTAAATACAGTAAACCTTATCTGTCTCTAGTAAGGAACAATTAAACAAAATACAGTAAACCTTACCTGTCTAGTAAAGAACATCAAACTAAATACAGTAAACCTTATCTGTCGCTAGTAATGAACAGTCAACTAAATACAGAAAACCTTATCTGTCTCTGTTGTAACGAATTTATTTTAATATCGACGCTGTTTAGATTGAGTTTATATTTAAAAGCATGCATAATCTCGAAATTAAGAATCAACAATATATGTGTGTATGTAAATGCTTCAACCAGTGTTGTTACGTAAGATTGAAGTTTCTAGAAAACGTTCCCACGCTATAAAATAACTAACGCGCCGCGCCAAGAGAGTGTCTATTATTAGTTCGCTATAATCAGCATACTATGAACTCCGAAAGCTATAATTGGGATTTTTAGAACGCTTATCAATCGGAAAACTTAAGATATTCGACCAGGAATATTTATAAATTTCGAACATTACAAATCGTTTAACTTTAGTGGATTCTCATCGGACATTAGTATTTTTGCGAAAACATTATGTAAATTCATCGTGGAAAACTCGGCATTGGCCAAGGAGATAAAGCTAGCTAGCTTCCCGGCGAATCGTACTTACATCAACTCGCTCATTGTAAACCCTCGATTAGATATCAAGGAAGTTCCAGACTAGTAAGAAGATTTTATATTATTTGTAAGTTTGTGAAACTTTTGTTCATAAATCATTGTTTGTAGTAACTATTTGTAATAATTGTTATTGTAAATTGTATTGTTGTGCGTATATTAAAACGTATTTGTTTTAAAAACGAAAACGGCGTGTGTCAGTCTTGTTGGCAAATATCGTAAATTAGACTAATATATCGGCATATATTTAAATTACTAAATCCAAGTACAATTAACTACTAAATTAAATTAAT